TGAGAGAATGCAGGTATTGGATGGGAGAGGAAGAAAAGGTATGTAGATTGTGTGGATTTGAGAGAGAGGACTGGGAGCATGTGTTAGAGAGGTGTTGGCAAGGAATAGATGAATAGCAAAAAGGAATACAGGAGAGAGTGAGATAGCTTTTAGATGATAGCGGGCAAGGTGAAAGATGGATGAATGAATTAGAGAAAAAGTGACAGAAAAGAATAGAGGGTTTAAAGTAATAAGTAATTAGAGGGTGGGATAGTTTTTATTCGTATTAGTTTTAATGACGAAGCCAAAAAAGGCATAAGAAACTGAAAGCGGAAGCCTGGCACTAGCAGATAGGTAGTTGTTAGTTAGTTTTAAGTTGCGTTTAGTCATAAGGATTTTTTGTAAATATGAGTTTGTAAGGATAATGTATTTGAATCCTCGAACCCTGCGTAAGGCAGGGAGAGTAAATAAAGTTAATAAATAAATAGATATAATAATAGTTTTTTGTATAAAAAATTAATAAATTGTCTTATTGTTTACGAAAATCTAAATTAAATTAGAAATATATGGAATAAGAAACTAATATCCATACATCAATGTTTGAAGTTAAGTCATTTTATTTTATATGACAAAAATTTCTTTTTTATGTGTCACAGAGTTTAGCCATATTTTTCTTCATGGCACTCCTTTTATTTTTTACATTAATCACACTGAAAAACTTTTGGTTCAGCAGCTGTCCCAAACGAAAAATTTCTACATTCAGTTAACTTCACTCATATAAAAACACATGGCAAATATTAAGTATGAAGTTAATTGAATATAGAAATTTTTCATTTGGAGCATCTGCTGCACCAAAATTATTTCAGTGCAGTTGATTTTTGATAAATTCTTTGGATCTAATTTGAAAGAAGTATGTAACTATAAAAGTTATAATTTCCCCTACAATTTCAGGATGTTCCTTACAAGTAAAAGATAATTTTATTTCTATACTTGATAGTTCGGTTGTAAATAATTCGAATGCATGTTGAAAATGACCGAACCGAATGTAAAGAGAAAACTGCCTAAACAATTTGTACACTTTATCCGTTTTTGAATATAATTGCACACATACTCGGTAGTGTAGTAAAATAGATAATCCATAATTTCAGGAATTGCTTAATCATGTTCTACGGCATTAACAAAATCACTGAAGTCTGTATCTTCGTCAACTACAGCAATATTTAATTTTTCTTTAATTTCTAAAAATCTGTTTTTTTCTTTATGTTCATAAATCTCTTTTAATTTAGATATAGGGGAGGATGGGGCCAGGGCCGGGATTACGACAAGCAATACTGCTAAGTTAGCAAACTGCCAGTTGGCAATGTCAGTTATATTCACGCTGGAAAAAAATATTGCTACCGGGTGTTTGATAAAATTCTAATCATTTGACAGATTTAGGTTAACCTATGAATTATTTACAGAAAAATACAGACTTAAAAACTATATTAATTGATAAGAATAGAAACATTTGATTTCATATTAATTAAAAAAAAAAATTTTAAACATTTCATTTCATAAATTTTGTTAATATGATAGTATTAATATAATTATTTTTATTTAATAAATAATCATAATATTTTCGAGAAACATTTCATTATTTATAATTTACTTTTTATTATGGTTTAATATATTTAATTGAATAATTATTTCATTTTGATTCTTTTACGTTTTCATTTAATTATTTATTATTTAATCCTCTATTTTATTGTACATATAATAATTAATATCTTATAAATGATTAACATTGTTCTTGCTACCCTGTATATGATTAAGCAATTGAAATGGCTATGTTGCATGAAATCTTTCAATTGTTTTCGTGCTCACTGCTATCAATCCGAACAATTTGACAAAAATTTGGTGTCAATTTGCTCGTTTTTTAGGTTAACTTGATTTTAATTTCTATTGTATAAGCTTGTACTTAATATTTTTTACCAAATAGCAATAAAATGTGATTGTGGGATAAATTTCCTACAAATCTCATGAAATTTTGTTAAGTTATATTTGCTAATTAGCAATAATTGCTAACTTAGCAGCATTGCTAGTCGTAATCCCGGCCCAGGATAGTTAAGGGGTAAGGATAGTTAGTTGCTGTTATGTTTAGACGGCTTGTTCAAAATTCGCGTCATTCATGGTATATTTGCGTCTTAACACCAATAGATGATAGTAAAAATTGGAAGTCAATCTGCCACCATTTGCGAATTCAGGAGTATATTTTTGTAAAAAGTTTGCTTTGCCAAAATGTCAACGTAGTGTTTAGCATACTGTTTTCTATATTAGTGCTTCCGAATATTTATTTTCGTAAGTGTTTTCCGGAGTGGAATTTCCTGCTGAACACGAATATCGTATTTATTTTCAAATTAATTAACGTCGTTCCTTAAAATTTAGAAAAAACTGAAATATGGGCTCATGGGGCAAGGACAGTTAGAGCTATTACGGCTCGATAAAATCCTGCTAATGCGACTGCAAATTATAAAAAAATGTTTAATTGTTCTTTTTATGTTGATATACATAATGGTACGTAATTACATACGAAAAAAGAAGCTTATTGACCAAGAAATTGGTTATCATCTGAAGAAAATTGGTTAAATGTCAGATTCTAGTTCAGACGAATTTTAATGCAATAATTGATATTTAGAAAATGTTCAAAACATGTTGTTAATACTTGATATATCAATATTGAATAGTCTAAATCCAATAAAATAAAGAAACCGAAAATTTACTGATTTTCTATGACAATTTTAGCATTTGGATTCTTTTAACTATCCTTGCCCCTGTACTGGGGCAAGAATAGTTGAAATTTTTTTTTTACTTTTTCATTCGTATCTCGTAGGGATTGCACTCTACAGCAAAATAATGTATAGCAAAATTATAGCCAAATAACCAGGCTTTCCAAAAATACTACTCGTTTGCAGATACAAATTCATGTTTGGTCACTAGATTCGAAAACGTCTTACCTAACTATTCATGCCCTATCCTCCCCTAGTAATTAGGGGTTTCATACACTCGTCATTTACATTTGACCAATTTCCCAGTTTAGGAGGCTTTAGGAAACTGTACAAAGTCAAAATTTTGTACAGTTGTAAGAAGGTAGGAGTACAGGGATAATCATTCGCACCACCAGCCAAATGCATCGTTCCCAAAAAAACGCTAAATAAAAACAATTAGAATTAGTAAAATAAAATTGATTAAAAATCGAATAAACGTAAGTTGTTAATAAAAAAATAATAATTATTAAATAATTTAAGTGTTACAACTGAAAAATTTTATATTTTTATGTAGATTTAAAATACCAAAATAAAAAAATCAACTAATATTTCTCGATAGTAAACACAATTTTTTTCATGCAGGACAGACACACAGTATTGACATGTAATAAATTTCTTCTCCTTTTTAAAAATCTATATAGGATTCATTCATTTACACCTGTAGAGGAAAAAAATAATTTCATGTTGATTTTTTCTGTCTTCAATGACACGATGACTCGCTTTTATTTTAAAATTGATATATAGGATCTACTTATCACAATTTTCCAGTTAGAAAGTGTAATGATACATATTTTAATATTGGAATTGGATATTGCATACTCCAGTGGCTGTAGGATTTGGTAAAAAGTCACTTTCTAAAATTTCTTAGCTTATAACTCTTCGTTCCCAGTTGTCAAGCCACTGTAGAAATTTACGAAGTACCTATTAAATATATATAACTTTTTACTGTACGTATATGTTGTTCTTATTAAAAATTAAAATGGATTTAATTTTAATTTAATAACTATAATTTGTAGATCCCAGTTGAAGACCTTTTTAAGGTGTAATTTCATTTAAAATATCAAATAAATTGTTTATCCTTCTCACAACCATAAATTAAATCAGAAAAATAAATTTTCATTTGAAGAAGAGCTGTTTACTGATCTGTTTAACCCTCTAAGTTCGGGTGAGACTTGAGCGTCCCATAGATTTAAAAATATTTTTTAACAATTTTAATAAAAAAACAAATATCTAATACTTACAGTAGGTTTTTGTAGGTAAAGAAGAGTGTTTTTGTACCATCAAAAATCGGTATTCAATAGTTTTAACATTAAAAATATTATAATTGTCAATAAATTTCAAGATTAAGTGAATTTTTCAAGTTTGATGCGATAATTTTCGAAAGCAAGTGTTAGTAGTTTTTATGGTAAAATAATTACATATATTTTAAATTGATGATATTACAAATTAAATTTGAGCTTAGTAACTTTTGCTTGATTTTATTTTAAATAATTTATATAATACATAAAGTCCTGATGGCATTTTTAAGTCCTATAACAAAAAACAGTGAATTTACCGTTTTTTTCAATTCCAACAGTTTTCCTCCAAATCCGAAGCATAAATTAGATAAACTAAAGCCTTGAAAAAATTTAATTTAAAATTTAATGTGTTACGGCGTTAATTTGGGACATAATCTTGCATTTATTTTCTTACTGTTACACTCGTACAGAAGTTCTATGTGTTTCCAAGGAATTTGCTTATCCTTGGAAGAAACCTAAAATGTAAAGAAAACGTCCATTTTTACGGAAATATGTATAATTCCATTGTCTCAATAATTGACACAGTTTTTTTAATTACCTGTAAAACTTTGCGGCCCTCAAGAATCAGATGAGGGAACCAGCACTGGACCCTATTCAGTTCTCCGCTTACACCCACCATTGTCCAAAATTTGCGATTTGTGGTCGTTCTATCTGTGACAACTCCTTGTATATGAGATCCTGCTTTTTCCAAAACATAAATGGCTTGAATAATTAATTTTTTTTTATTTACATGAAGTAACAATCCCACGGTAAAAAACAATCAAAGGGCACTACATTGAGAAAATTACAATAAAAATCATAAAACAAATCGTGTACACAACTAACTAAAAAAAAATTATAATTTTGAAAAGAAAAACGGAAAAATATATCTATAACTTAGTATATTAGTATAGATGATATAAATTAGTGAAATATTGAGATTTTTATAAACATTATAAACTTAATTTTGATAAATTTTCGCCAGATATTGTGCCTTTTGAAGTGCATACTGCAATTGACTGAGCGAACGACTTCATTAATGGGTGAACATTAAAACAAGGCTGTGGTCGGCCTGCTCGTTTAAAGTGGTCGTTGAATTATTGTCATGAAAATCAGTTAACCCTAAAAATTCTATCGACTTGGTATTCAATCCAACATTTTTCCGTGTCGATATTTCATCTAAGAGTAAGATTCCATGTCGTAATAATTCAGGTAGTTTTGCTAAGTGCTCCGAAAACCGTGGCAAAAAGTTTGAATCAAATCCACAAGGAGTGTCAACCAAAGATAAATATCTATTTTAAAAAGAAAACGAATTAGTAGAATAAAGTATATAATATTTAAAATAAAATAAATACTAAAATTATAATATCAATTAATTTAATTACTTAAAATTTTAATATATTATAATATTAATTAATTTAATTAATAATTAACATTAATATTAAATAAAATTAAATAATTAATTACTTACGTCCGAATATTACTCGTACAAGGAAAAGGTAATAATTTAGAGTCTCTTAAGATTCTATATGCAGCCGGCGATCGCATATGGAATAAGAGACACTGCAAAATCCATTTTTTTGAGTACCGGTTAGCCTTTTTGTTATCATGTTTTGAAGTTTTTAAAATTTATTTTATGACTAGTCTCTCATTGTCACTTATATTGTGATTTAATAATTTTTCCTCTACTTTTTTATTCGTAAATGAAGACATTTCTTTTTGACATTGACTTAATTCTTATACACAAGCATGATATTTATTGCGATAAATTTTTTTCTTTTGTTGAGCTATATTATACAATTTTCGCATTTTCATACGTTTCTCTTGTTCAGCAGGATTTGACAATTTTAAGTTTAATTGTTTTTGTTGTTTTATTTTTTTCAATCTTATGTATTTATTTGAAAGAACTTTTTGTGTACTTGTACAAAATTTGCAACGCGATGTTTTTTTGCTGTCAGTGATACTCAAAGGGCATTTACAATAACGTAAAACTCCCATACAATCACAAATTGCAACAGACGTCTCAACATTTCTCGTTGTATTTGAATCTGCGCAACACGTGCAAGTTTTCATATTATCTAATTTTCAATATCTTTCACGCTAGAAATATTGTTACTTTCGAGTCCAATTTTATCTATTGAAATGAAACAGGCATTCCGGAAATTTCAATTTGAATTTCTAAGTCAGAAAGTACTATGACATTTTTGGAACTGACAAATTTAATTTTGTCTTCCACTTGGCGACAAATACATTTTGAAATTTCGATGCACTTAAAATTTTGCTTAACTTGTTGGCGATTCCACCCTGTTATATTAATGCTGTTTTTATTAGTAAATATTTAATTAAAAATCCTTTTTCGCTCTATTAATGTTACATCAAGTTTTTAAAAAGTTTCTCAATTTTCGCTTAATTCTGGGTCTCAATTTATTTCAATATCTTCAAATGTTTTTTTAAAATGTTGACAGTTTGAATTGTCTACTTTAACGGCACTATCACAATTTTCCTCAATACAAATGCTGACATTGTCCTCTTCGTTATTTTTTTGTTTCTTCGAGTTTCCACTTAAAGCCGGTCGGTTTTTCAGTATTCTTTTTCCAATAGGTTTTGAAGTTTAAAAAATTTTGATATTAAGAAAACAATGTATGTATAAATGACATATATTTATAAAAAATATTAAAAAAATAATGTAAATAATATAATATTAATTATAATAAATAAATAAATATAATATAAATAAAAAATATACAAATATAAATATGGGGTAAAATTCCTGTAGCGTACTAAGTAAAAAAAAGTTAATTAGATCAGGCTGTAACATGCACATAGTTTAGCCCTAGGGGTGAGTACTTTAACCACGAAGTATTGTTAGGTTTTTTCAAAAACTGGCCGAGAGAGTAGGGATTGACTTTTTTTGAAAAAATAAACAGTGAATTTTTTAAGGCTTGTAACTTTTAAACAGAAAGATTAAAAAAATTTAACCTATATGTTTTCAAAAGGTTTTTTCCTGCTTTTTCGAATAGTGCAAAAATTTTTTAAAAAAATTTACATTTCGAACCTTTTTTTGAAAATTAAAATTTTTATTGTATTTTTTTAAGTTTGGTCTTTTTTATTTTTTTTATTTATTTTTTCTTTGAAAGCTAAAAATTTGTATTTTCAGAACAAAAAATATTGAGATGTCCTTTTTGGTTATTTTCGAGATATTAATTAATTAATTAATTAATGTTAATAAAAAATGAAATATTTCACAAATAAATAAAGTTATTGCAATCCTGAAACTACCAATTGAAACCTGACGTAATTCCCCATCCAACGAGCCCTATATGAACTATTTTGGATTAGAGGATTTTTTAGAAACAATTCCAATGTTAGCCAATTGTTTATTTACAATCCAGTAATCCAAAGTACTTCTTATAGGGCTCGTTGTATGCGGAATTATGTCAACTTTCATTTAGAAACGTTAGAATTGCAATAACTTTATTTGTTTATAAAAAATGATATGTTCCTTTATTTCTACAGAATGAAAGCCCACAAACAATTTTTCAAAATTTTCAAAATTTTTTGAGACATCTCTAATTAAAAATTTATGTCACTTTTTTAAAAAAAACATGTAACTTTTTTTCTTGTTATTCAAATGAGATCAATTTTTTTTCAAATTTCTCACAAAAAATTGCTATTTTAAGAAAAAAATAGTTTATGAAAAAAATTTTTTTTTGCCCGGAAAAAATGCAAAAACAATTTTGAATTCATTTTTTGAACAAACTACCTCTTTGATTTCAAAAATTTTATTTTCTACTTATTGCTTATGATGTTAAGAATAATGAACTTCTCTAATTTTCATAATGGGACAGCAAGAACTTTGCGAGAAAAAAATTATAACTTCCCGTGCGGCGCGACGGGACGCGCGCATCTTAGTTTTCACGTTCATTATATAGTATGGAAACTTGCAAATATCTCGAAAAGTACGAATTTTCGTAAAAAATGTTCAAGACAAAAGTTTTTCCAAACAAAAAGATCTACATCTTTGAAACCAAAAAATTGGGCTCTGTGCCCAATTTGAAAATTAACTTCAAATTTATAATCTTGTGACACCAAAAACCCCCCAAGATAGAATTTTTTAAAATTTATTTATTTTTTGTCAAAAAATGTTGGGCCCAATCCCAGACATCGAAGAGGTAGTTTTTTTAAAAAATGAATTCAAAATTTTTTTTTGCATTTTTTGCGGGCAAAAAAAATTTTTTTTTCATGAACTATTTTTTTCTTAAAACAGCATCTTTTTGTGAGAAATTTGAAAAAAAATTGATCTCATTTCGATAGCAAGAAAAAAAGTTACATGTTTTTTTTTTAAAAAGTGACATAAATTTTTAATTAGAGATATCTCAAAAAATTTTGAAAATTTTGAAAAATTGTTTGTGGGCTTTCATTCTGTACAAATAAAGGAACATATTCACAAGGTTTCAATAAAATTGCTCCAATCATCAAAAATCCTTGTGATCAGATCTCATGGAATTGCTCATTTTCCTTAGCATCTTTAACCTCAGGTTTATAAATTATTTTGTCTTGTAAACAATGTATATAACACACCACTAATACACTTTTTAAAATAAAATATTTTCGAGAAATAGGCTTCTCTCACTTTTTTCTTAATTCTTCGTCCTTTGGGACTGAAAAAAGATTTACAGTCTCTTTACAGGAATCATATCTCGAATTACAGTTCAGAAAAACACATATGTGGCCTTTATATCCTGCAGATAGTGCCATGGATCACTTTATATTTTAAAATACTTAAAACACTTCTAAATATCAACTTATTTAATTTGAGCAACTTTTTCTCGATCTATTAGGATAGTTTACCGCCAAAAAAATATACAGCCATATTATTGTCAAGCATACGAATCGCAGCGCCGCCCTATCGGTCTGATAAGACGCTACACAGCCTTCATCAAACTTTAGTCGGTGATTTTAAACACAGAAATATATGAGTGATGGATTGATTACCTTTGTAATTACTTTTTTACAAAGATAATGAACTGTAATTGCAATAAATTTATTGTTTAATATGACTTCCATAGCACAGAAAAGTAAATTTGAACTTGCGTTTAAAAGTTTTTTTAGTAATAAAGATGTATTGTTGTTCGCTATCTAGTAAAATCTCTGAAAATAAGGAAAACGTTACCACAATACTTAGTTAGCTGATAAGTAATATTCTGAAGTCTTTTCCATGAACTGTTTGATTAAATCAAAAAAACTTTTCTCCTAAATAATAGGCGTTTGACAAAATATGTTAATATAGCTTTACAATTTGTAAAAATAAATTACAGAGGAAAATAAAATTCATTTCAAAAATGTGTCTTTAAAAAATTAAGTTTTGTAATAAAGTTTAATGATTCTAGAGATATGTCACATACATTAACTACATTAATTTATTTACCGCTAATAATACATTAATTATGTGTTTACCTGTTTTGCAGTTTCTTTTACGTTGAGGCGAATAAAATTGAGCGTTTGATACGATTTGTTAATCTAAGAAAAATAAATATTATAGTAAGTCATTAGTTGATATTTTTAATTTTACTTTAGAGTTTTATTGTATATTATGTAGTGTACATAAAAGTTTAAAAAATAAAATTAATCCTAAGAGAATTTTTTAGGAAATCCTTATTTTTATGTGAACATTTTTACGCCATTGAAAATATATTTAAAAAGAAAGGGCCGTCATAAATAGATGTGAATAAAATATGAGTCCAAGTAAATCAAATATGTAACACTCCACGAGAAAGGAGACCTTATATGCCGCGCATGCCGGCGAGAGTCAGTATAAAGAACCAGCCCTACTATTTCCTCTACCACTATACTTCCCGTGTCTGTTAGCCTTATAAACAAACGCAACCATGTAGTAGTTTAGTAGAAAGGAAACTTTTCATAAGCTCCGCCTACGTTCTCAATTTCTCTATTTCTGGCTTTGCTTTAAACACTTCTCCCGTAATATTTGTTTTTCGAGTAAAAGGTCCTGTTTCTTGTGGGCGTCACATATAATATTTAAATAAATAAAAATTATATTTTAAACATTTGACAAAAAGGTACTCGATCTTATATTTTACGTTGAATAGGCTATAAACGTAACATTATTACAAGTTAAAGTTGAATACCGACTTGGGTACTATTTCAGAAAATTCCGTTTTTTGGTTAGGTTTTTGGTATGTGGAATTAATATGCATTTTATGATTAAGGAATTCAGAATATGTGCTGTCTAAACCAAAGTCTAACTTTCGATTAAACTTGACTATTTTAGGGTTTACTTGATTTTATACAGCTTCTGGAGTCAACTAAATTGCGGTTGATAATAACACACACTGTAAAAAATTTTGGTAGATTTTCCTATTATTTCTTGTGTAGAATTACCAATTTTTGTAGGTAAAGTAATTTTCCCCAAGTATTTTTGTAACTTTACCAAATTTGTTCATTTTTACCCAAATTATTTGGAAAATTTTCCAAAACTTTGGGTAATTACTTAGGAAATTTTTCAATTTTTGTTGGTAAAAGAGTTTTCCTAAAAGTTTTGGAAATTCTACAAAAATTGTGTATTATTACCCGAATTATTTCCAATTTTTTTTTTGGTAATTTCTTAGGAAATTTTTCAATTTTACAAGCTAAAGAATTTTTACCAAAATTTTGGTAATTCTACGAAACTTGTGTATTATTACTCCAATAATTACAAACATTTTTTTGGTAATTTCTTAGGAAATTTTTCAATTCTTATAGGTAATGCAATTTTCACAAAAGTTTTAGTAATTGTTCCAAACTTGTGCATTACCACTCTATTTGGAAAACTTTTTTTTTTAAATTTGTTACCCAAAACCTTTAAGAAATTTTTCGAAGAATGCGTATATTTTTATAAACATTTATGGAAAATATATTTAAAAAAATTTTATTATTAATTTAAGTAATGTTCTCTTGTGTTTTTTTATTGCTAAAGTTTTTAGTTGTTAATTTTTCAATTAATTAATGCACTTTTAAAATCTTAATAAATAATTATTGAAGTTTAAAATATACTTATACATCTAAGATAATTAATTAACTAATTATTAAATTTTAAAATATACTTATATACATATTAATATAATATATTTTATATTATTTTTTTCATTTTAAAATTTAACTTAAAAAATATATTTCGAAATAAATATAAAGAATTTATTTATTTCTACAGCAAAGATTTATGATCTTTTAAATATTTTATTTTTTTCTGACAGGATTGTCACATCTGGTTTGGCTTAGGCCGGCCGGCTCTCAGAGTTTCTCGATACGAACGGGTCTATTTTATGCGTTTTAGGTACTCGTTTTTTTCATATAGATTTGTTGATACTGAAACTTTGTGAAAATTTTTGGATAGTACAAAATACAGACTATTCGAAATATTTTCCAGGACATTTTCACAGGAAGGCTTCTCAAGTGTCAGTTGCTCTCTAGCATTTGCGAGAGACGATCTTGAAGGATCTTGAACCGCGCGTGATACGCAAGTGAATTCGGTGACAGTGTAGAAGTGATATTGAAGTTTTTAACATTCCAGGATAATATACACATATTTAGGTAAGTTTTATCAATAAAAATGTCACATTAATAATTAATTAAATAATAGATAAAAAATTAATGAAGAAATTAAGTTTTAAATTAAATTTTAAATTAAGTTTAAATATATATCCCGTATATATCAGTCCTAATACTCATTTATATTATTTATTTTTTTTAGGATCCAGTTTCAACAGAAGATGAAATTAAAAATGCTGCTACAGATTCAAGTCGACCAGCGTTAATTGTGACAGGTACCTTAAATTTATTAATTTTTAGTTAAAAAATACTTATTTCATTTATTCCTTGACTTTAATTTACTTTAATAATATTTTAGGATCATCCTTATATGATGAAGCGTGCACTTGCGACGTCGTAATTGAGGGAAGTATTGTTTTGAAAAGCAATAATGTACTGAAAGGTGTCCTTCTTTTTCTTCTCAGCTACTATGTATAAGGGTACAACTACCCGACTAGGATGGCTGTGTCTTTAGATTTTGTTCAATGGTAAATTATTCATTTTATTATTTTAAAATTCATTATTTACTAAATTACTTTCCTAAATTTTATTACATTAACAATGTTTTTTACAGCATGTTGCTGGATGTTAATCCTCAGAAGGGGCATTAAGGAAAAAAAATTTCAAAGAAGGCACAATTGGTGCACCATCAATAACTGGAATACTTACCCTATATTATTAAATATAAGTTTTACAACAATGTATATAATAATTTTATAATAATATATATATATTAAAAATAAATGTAAAAATTTTATATTCTAACTGCAAAAAGATTTTCAAATAATTTTTAATGAAAAATAAAATATATTTTACATGTATACTCATAAATTTCTATTTTTTTCTAATATTCTATTCATAAATCACATTATTAATAAAGAAAAAAAATTATTTTTCTAAATTTTTGCATGGCAACAATTAAAAAGTTGTGTATCTTTTTTAAACACTTTACTTAAAATTCTTTACAAACTAGAAAATTTTGGGTATTTTTTCAAAATAATTTGGGTACAAATACGAAAAAATAGTGCATTTTTACTTAAAAATTCTTGGGTACTTTTTCAAAATAATTTGGGTAAAAATTCGAAAAAGTTTGTCCATTTTCACATAAAAATTCTTGGGTATATTTTCCAAATAATTTAGGTAGAAACACGAAAAAGTTTGTGCATTTTTACACAAAAATTCTTAGGTATATTTTCCAAATACATTTTGTAAAAATACTAAGAAGATTGTGTATTTTTACCTAAAAATTCTTGGGTTTTTTTACCAAATATATTGTGTAAAAATACCATGAAGATTGTGTATTTTTACCTAAAAATTCTTGGGTTTTTTTGCTTCCAGAATATTTTTGGTAAAATTACCCAAGAAATTTTTTACAGTGCAGGCACACAAAAAAAAAAGTTGTCTGTTTCTTGAACTAGACATATATTTCCTATAGTATTTTGGGCCGCTGAAACCGAATCTGAATTCAGAATTGCTCCATCACCCTCAGTTTTTTTTAAATCGACCAAAACCACCCTTAAACGGACAAATTCACACTTCGGAGATAAAAAATAAATCAACTTATTTTTTAAAAAAACTGAATTTTACATCTACGAAACTTTGCTCCACTAACTCAAAAACAAAGCCAGCATTGATCCAGCACCCCCTGAATTTTTTTAATTGAAAAAACTACCCCTAATCTGAAGAATAAAATTCAGGAGATAAAACAATAAAATAACTGATTGACAAATTTTATAACCAGAAATTTTTACTCCAGCAAGGCAGAAACAAAGCCAGAAATACTCCCTCACCCCTTAAATTTTTTTTAAATCGAAAAACCACCCTTAAATAGTAAAATTCAAATTTAAGAAGTAAAAAAATATTATATTACCAGCTTTTTTTAAATACAGAACCTTACATGTATGTAGTTTTGCTCTACTAACTCAAAAAATAAAGCCAGCATTGATCCATCACCCTCTGAATTTTTTTAAATGGAAAAAACTACCCCTAATCTGAAGAATCAAATTCAGGAGATAAAACAATAAAATAACTGATTGACAAATTTTATAACCAGAAATTTTTACTCCAGCAAGGCAGAAACAAAGCCAGAAATACTCCCTCACCCTCTAAATTTTTTTTAAATCGAAAAAACACCCTTAAATAGTAAAATTCAAATTTAAGAAGTAAAAAAATATTATATTACCGGCTTTTTTTAAATACAGAACCTTACATGTATGTAGTTTTGCTCTACTAACTCAAAAAATAAAGCCAGCATTGATCCATCACCCTCTGAATTTTTTTAAATGGAAAAAACTACCCCTAATCTGAAGAATCAAATTCAGGAGGTAAAACAATAAAATAACTGATTAAAAAAGTTTATAACCAGGTATTTTTACTCCAGCAATGCGAAAACAAAGCCAGAAATGCTCATTGCTGGAGTAAAAATACCTGGTTATAAACTTTTTTAATCAGTTACTTTATTGTTTTACCTCCTAAGTTTGATTCTTCAGATTAAGGGTAGTTTTTTTTATTAAAAAAATTCAGATTGTGATAGATCAATGCTGGCTTTTTTTTGAGTATTTCTGGCTTTGTTTCTGCCTTGCTGGAGTAAAAATACCTTGTTATAAAATTTGTTAATCAGTTATTTTATTGTTTTACCTCCTGAATTTGATTCTTCAGATTTTAGGGGTAGTTTTTTCCATTTAAAAAAATTCAGAGGGTAATGAATCAATGCTGGCTTTATTTTTTGAGTTAGTAGAGCAAAACTACATACATGTTAGGTTCTGTATTTAAAAAAAGCCGGTAATATAATATTTTTTTACTTCTTAAATTTGAATTTTACTATTTAAGGTTGGTTTTTCGATTTAAAAAAAATTTAGAGGGTGAGGGAGCATTTCTGGCTTTGTTTCTGCATTGCTGGAGTAAAAATTTCTGGTTATAAAATTTGTCAATCAGTT